AAATAGATTTTGATTCCTATAGAAGAACTTCAAACGACTACTCGATATTGGAGAAATACGCGGATTTCCCGGGATGATAGAAAGCATCGATTGTATGCATGAGGGGTGGAAAAATTGCCCCACTCTTCCACTCCCAATGCATACAATCCAAGCGGTAGGGCACTTCTTCCACTCCCAATGCATACAATCGATGCTTCCTATTATCCCGGAAAATCCACGTATCTCTCCAATATCGAATAGTCGTTGAAGATCTTCTGGTGTGGGTCTTCTTAGATACTTATCTCCAAACAAATTTATTATTCCTTCTACGAAAATTTCCAAGCAAGAAATTACTGGACTTTCACCGAGCTAGAGGTATTCGTCAACCGTGTCAGCCGCACAACCATATGCCGTCATACAAATTGCTGCTGTACACTTTTGTAATTCAGAGAGACTGAACCTTCCAGTAGCATTTCTTCTTTGTTGAAAGAATGGAACCTCATGGGTGAGTCGATCAACAATACACATGAACAAGAGTGTGTTCATTCTAAATATATTAGGAGGGTATGTTGAATCTTCACTGAAATAGTCGTTCCATAAGCGGTTGTGGCCTTGTTCGCGTTCTCTTTCAATATATGCTCTTTTTCTGTTGCTGCATCAAGAATGGGAACATATTGTCGAATTTTTGATTGAAGACTTCATCAAAACTTTCATCAAGTGATCCATCGAAAGCATTTTTGGAAGATGATGCCATTTTTTTTGAATTAATTTTTGTTTGATGGAGAAACAAGAAACAAGGGAAGAGTTAGAGTTTAGTAGAGAAATAAAAGAAGAGAAGAGTTAGAGTTTTTATATTAAGAAATAAAAGAACATTTTCTAAACACATATATAGAAAATAAATGATCGATATCTTTACAACACATATGTGGTTTAAAATACTCTCAAGAAATTTTGTAGTTTACAATCTTCAAATTTTTTTGGTTTACAATTCTACAAAACGTAACAAAAATAGACCTCCACAAAACAAACAAATACTCTAGACCTCCAAAAACAAAACAAAACAAAACTCTTTGGTAAGGGTGCGTAAGTGAATTTGATTTTGAGGAAAGTGCGTGAGAAGGGACAAAAAAAGATGAGGTAAACATATTAGTTTGAAAAATAGACTGTTAAATCTCAAAGTGAGAGTCTGAGGGGGTAATAAATATGTCTTATTCATCTAACGAAATAACTTGGTAAAACTGAGATGATTAATTTGCTGTGAATTATTTACTAGCTTTATAATTGTAATCTCTTAACAAAATAGAGATGTGTTATGTGAGTTATTTACTAACTAAAAAATTATTTACGAACTAAAATACAGAATCAGAGATGAACTATTTTAAAGCTCTATTAATATTCTTATATGCTAATTATATAATAATGATTAAACGTAACTAGTTGAAGTGATTGATAAACCTTTTGTATTTTTTAAAGTTGAAAATGTTACAACTACAGTCATGGATATAACTATATGTAAGTAACTATTTTGGGAACAAATTTTAATACAATTAAAATTTACAGTTATCTTACTTTATTTTCATGTATTGTATAGTCTTTCCAGAGAAATTTTATAATTGTAGGGTTTGGAATTTTAATATGTTTTTTATTTAAATGTTTCTTCGTCGAAATAATCGATTTGAGTTTATTATATGCCAATTTCAGTACCTAATTTTTCTACTTCTACAGAACTCATCCCAACAAGTGAAAAGATGTCAAGAAGATGGAATTGTGTGACCAAAGCCTTGAAAATATTTTTAAATCATGCAAGTCTTCTTACCAGATAGCATATGGTAATGGAACTAAAGAATCATAAGATGCCATTTTGAGAAAACTTAGGCTGATATTAAATTTGCTTTCAGTTAAGGAATGTAAAAAATCTTTAGCGATTAAAGTCAAGTGAAAGATTTAGCGTTCCAACGTGAGATCTATATGATTTCTCTGCAACATGGTGTGTACTTTTGATATATATATATATATATATGTATGTATGTGCGTGTGTGTGTATGCACTTTGCAGAGAAATCATATAGATCTCACGTTGGAACGCTAAAATACAGAATCAGAGATGAACAATTTTAAAGCTCTATTAAAATTCTTATATGCTAATTATATGATAATGATGAACTATGCTAATCATGGTGTGTACTTTCCTTATCCTAAGTTCATATATATGCGTGTGTGTGTGTGAAATAGACGCAAAGGAAAGACAGAGAGGATGAGAAAACGGGCACGGAAAGAAGGAAATATGGAGCTGTATTAATAAAATCGCCTAAGAGGTAAAATAGAATTGCATAGAAGAAATATGAACTTAGGATAAGTATTTCTGAGTTGTCATTCACATCAGAATCCTTTTATTTGAACATAAGAAAATGAAAAAATATATTCGTTGAAGTTGATTATCAATTGGATAATATGTTAACCAAGGCTTTTGGATGAATGAGATTATAGTTTTTATAGCGAGGATTTGATGCAGGGTTTCTGAAATCTTGATACCGGATATAGTTTCCATTATTTTCTTTTGCTTTGTTTTGTGGAATCACTTTCATACTAACATGTTTCTGGGGAAAATATTGTCATTGGGCTAAATACAATTTAGGATATCATAGTTAGAATTGCATTACATCCATTTTATGGTTTCAGAAGAGTTTGTGAAAGTCTTAGCCAATGAGAATAAAAAATAGTTTCGAGTAACTTTATCTATTTGTTTATAAAATATGTCTCTTAAGTTCATAATTCCATAAATTGATACTTACTATTTGTTGGATTATATATCAACTCTAGATTTGTTGAGTTTTTTTTTTTGGGTCGAAGATTTGTTAAGTGTTTGTTCATGGTTTTTAGTAGAGAATGTATTTGATTAGCTTCTTTGAAGATAAAATAAAAGCCCACAAAAAAACAATTAAATTTTATTTCATTTATGATGTTCTCTTTTATTATACTTTAATACTTATTATAATTAGCATCTATTAGTATAATAGTTTTTCCTAGAATCTGAGAACATATATAATATTTATAAAAGATAACTTATAAATATCAAGGAAGTATACTTTAATAATTTTATTTTTGAGTTTATGTATATATAGTTTAGGAAAATATTTACCTTCAGTTACATATATCAAAGTGTGGTATTTAAGAATGTATGTTATGAGTGGTACTGTAACATCCTAATTCCTGGTATATATGAAAAAGCTTTATAGAATTGATTTGATTACCTGTGGTATCCTAAAATAATAACATGTGGAAGCCAAGTATTGAGAAGATAAATAGGTGAAGTTCTCAAGAAAATTTTTTAACACTACAAACTAGAAAAATACACATAAAAATTGGTTAGAAAAAGGAGAAATGAGAGGAAGATAATCAATACTAGGTTTAAATCGTGCCAAAATATGGTATGTATTCAATTTGTGGTGTTCATGAAAGAGAGAGAAAGAGAAAGAGAGAGAGAGAAAATGCATCT